CTCCCAACACATCCGGTTTAGAGGTCCATCCCCTATCTTCCCCTAAACCGTGGAGTACATCCCCTATCTCCTCCAACACACACAATGCATATAAACAACAATTATACACATCATCACACAATACATAAATTTAATGTATTCTCTCAATCATCAATCTCAATGACACATTCTAGTGATTAGTTTAAGTTTGCCTAATCATCATGCATATTATATTATATAGTTTAGATCAAATATTTTATTTTTATTAACATCTTAATCTAATTTTAAATTTGGAGAAGATGAGATAAAATTATCTTTTCGTTGTGTTAATTTCACTTAAGTTTTTTAAAAAAATTAAATTCACTCTAAAATATAGCATATGTATACCCTTTCCATTAATTTGAATGAAAAAAAATAATAGTGATATTTTAGTTTAAAATTACATAGTAATTATCTGATTATATTTAAATCATAATAAATAAAGTGACCACAAATCACAAAGAATAAAATAAATCTTATGTTTTACTTTAATATTTTTAGCTGAGACATACAAATCATTTTATACATTTAGAAAACCCAACATAATCAAATAATATAATTGATTACAAATGATTAGGTGAACAAATGTGTATATTGAATGATTCAAATTAATCTACTAAATCTAATGATTAGAATTTTTTTTCATGTATGGTGGTACCCAAAAACCACTTTTGGTACCGCAGTCGTACCCCAATGGGCATAGGATGATGGTCAGTGTTGAGCCAAAGGAACAGACGATGGTTAGTGTTAACCCCAATTACTTTTCCATTTGTATGGTTTGTTGGCCATTAATTTCGTCATGGTTTAACGTAGGGGTGGGTGGCATTGTAGTTAAGGCCTGGGGTTTAAGTCTCCAGGTTATAGGTTCAATTCCCCCCTCTGAGCCAACCTCTTGGGAAAAGCACAGTTGGTTAGGAGGTTGGACCTCAAGTTGTCTAATTAATTTTGGTGTGGGTTCAATGTTCTCCCGCTGTGCAAGTCCTGACTTAAGCGGAGCTTGTCTTGGGATGTCGGGGCAAATTTCCAAGTTATAGTCTCCTCGCTCGGAACGACTAACATGACACTCTTGTGATCTCTGCAAGGGGCGCTACCTTAGACCTGCGGGAGAGTAGGGAGCATTTTCCTGTAACAAAAAAAAAAAAAAAAAGATTCAAACCAATTTGTGTAACTTCCACACCACACTAAAGACAAAAAATTAAGAATAAAAACAAATTATTTTAGTTGCACAAAAACTCTGTTTGGGAAGTGGGTTTATGGCTTTTTTGAGGTTAAAATGTACACAAAAAAAAGAAGAAGATAAAATAGACTAAAATAGTTAATAAGATAAAGTCATGGTTTGGCATTCTTTTTGGAACTAAATAATCACAAAAAGACAAAATTGATTACAAAAGCTAGTAAGACAAAATACTACTTTTTATCCATAAATATTACATTTTTTTTCTTACAAAAGTCAAAAAAGCTCCAAAAAAAAAAAAAAGTCCCAACACAAAAAAGTTGGCTATATTAGTCAATGCCAAACGAAGCTAGTTTGGTATACCTTTTAGTCATAGAGTACATGTCATATTTTTTGCTATGCCTGTGAGATATTAAATTTCCTTTTGTATTTCATAGAGTTTCATTCTTCAATCTGCACCGTTTGTTTACAATTTATTTGTTACCGACAATTTCTGCTTCTAACTCTACATTGTATGCACAGCTGAATATTGTTGAAGGAAAGATGCAATATTTGTTTGATGAGAGTGGCAAGCGCTATCTTGATGCATTTGCTGGAATAGTTACCGTGTCTTGTGGTCATTGCCATCCTCAAATTTTGGATGCAATAGTGGAACAAAGCAAGCTTCTTCAGCATGCTACAACCATTTACCTACACCACGCCATAGCTGATTTTGGAGAGGCATTGGCATCTAAGATGCCCGGAAACCTAAAGGTTCATCCTTTAGAATCTAAATCTTGATATATTACTACCACTGTTTTTTTTTTTTATATTTGTGGTAATTATAGCTTGCATTTTCTACGCAAGTTAGATTTCTAATTTGAGGGTTATATCATCAAATGTTGAGAATTGATATTATTCTTATCTGATGTTTTTAAGATTCATCTGGGTAAAGTTTATGGACAATACGAGGGTAATTGATTACTCTCCCTTGCATTATTTTTGTTGCATTTCAATTTCATGGTGCAATATTGTCAATTTGTCAAGCAATGGGATGCATCCTGAAAGGTTCTGTTTTGTGAAGTTAGACTACAAAGAATGAATCTAAGATGGTTGGTTACCTTTTAAACTCAATTTGAAATGCAGGTTGTGTATTTTGTAAATTCTGGAACCGAAGCAAATGAATTAGCAATGCTAATGGCGCGACTATACAGTGGTAATCTTGGTATGATCGCCTTGAGGAATGCCTATCATGGTGGAAGTGCTGGTACAATTGGATTAACGGCTCTTAACACATGGAAGTACCCAATACCACAGGTCAGTTATCCATTAGAGCTTATAAAGATTCATAATTATTTGCAGTGTTTGGTTGCCAGCCATAATTTAAATTTTAATACATAAATTTTATGATATATTCATGGTCAGCTGAACCTCAAAACATTTTTTTCTTTTTTCTAATTTGTTCATAGTGTTTTTGCTTGAAAAATGGTTGACACGGCAACTTGGGTTGGCATATATATTGCCAATGAGATGCTTTTTATTCAATCATGAGACATTTGAACCTATGGCTTTAATGAATCATTTTTCTTCACTTTGTTGATTTAGCTTGTGGTTTAGTTTTTCATTCTTTTCATAAAATTGAATTGCTTACATCTTTCTGTAAGAAAGGAAGCACTTGCCCTAGATCCAGCTCAACAAATACGACCCATTCCCCCCCTATCCCTCTAGATATTGCATTTTCTATTTGGTACACCAGCTTACCTTTTATTTTTCTACTTAACATAGATAAACGAATTTGACAGTAAAATTGTCCAAATAGTGTTGTGAAAGTTGAAGAATAATTTAAAATCTCACACATTAAATTTAAATCTGTAGACCTGTTGATTTGTTTATACTTGCTTGTTTGAAATTTACATTAATTTAGTTATAAAACAGAAAAAGGTTCTTTAAGACTGTTTATTACAACAGATTACATTATACGCCAGCTATGGTATATTATAATACTGTTAAAATTGATGTATTTATTGATTGATATATATTGATATGTATTACAATGATTCATGATTCCTATATATAGAAGAGGGTGAGTGTGTAGTAGGTAAGGAGTAGGTGAAGTGGAGGTGGTAGTGGTGTAGTGGGTTAGGTTTAGTGGAGTAGGTGAGATGGTAGTGGTGTAGTGGGTTAGGTTTAGTGGAGTAGGTGAGATGGTAGTGGTGTAGTGGGTTAGGTTTAGTGGAGTAGGTGAGATGGTAGTGGTGTAGTGGGTTAGGTTTAGTGGAGTAGGTGAGATGGTAGTGGTGTAGTGGGTTAGGTTTAGTGGAGTAGGTGAGATGGTAGTGGTGTAGTGGGTTAGGTTTAGTGGAGTAGGTGAGATGGTAGTGGTGTAGTGGGTTAGGTTTAGTGGAGTAGGTGAGATGGTAGTGGTGTAGTGGGTTAGGTTTAGTGGAGTAGGTGAGATGGTAGTGGTGTAGTGGGTTAGGTTTAGTGGAGTAGGTGAGATGGTAGTGGTGTAGTGGGTTAGGTTTAGTGGAGTAGGTGAGATGGTAGTGGTGTAGTGGGTTAGGTTTAGTGGAGTAGGTGAGATGGTAGTGGTGTAGTGGGTTAGGTTTAGTGGAGTAGGTGAGATGGTAGTGGTGTAGTGGGTTAGGTTTAGTGGAGTAGGTGAGATGGTAGTGGTGTAGTGGGTTAGGTTTAGTGGAGTAGGTGAGATGGTAGTGGTGTAGTGGGTTAGGTTTAGTGGAGTAGGTGAGATGGTAGTGGTGTAGTGGGTTAGGTTTAGTGGAGTAGGTGAGATGGTAGTGGTGTAGTGGGTTAGGTTTAGTGGAGTAGGTGAGATGGTAGTGGTGTAGTGGGTTAGGTTTAGTGGAGTAGGTGAGATGGTAGTGGTGTAGTGGGTTAGGTTTAGTGGAGTAGGTGAGATGGTAGTGGTGTAGTGGGTTAGGTTTAGTGGAGTAGGTGAGATGGTAGTGGTGTAGTGGGTTAGGTTTAGTGGAGTAGGTGAGATGGTAGTGGTGTAGTGGGTTAGGTTTAGTGGAGTAGGTGAGATGGTAGTGGTGTAGTGGGTTAGGTTTAGTGGAGTAGGTGAGATGGTAGTGGTGTAGTGGGTTAGGTTTAGTGGAGTAGGTGAGATGGTAGTGGTGTAGTGGGTTAGGTTTAGTGGAGTAGGTGAGATGGTAGTGGTGTAGTGGGTTAGGTTTAGTGGAGTAGGTGAGATGGTAGTGGTGTAGTGGGTTAGGTTTAGTGGAGTAGGTGAGATGGTAGTGGTGTAGTGGGTTAGGTTTAGTGGAGTAGGTGAGATGGTAGTGGTGTAGTGGGTTAGGTTTAGTGGAGTAGGTGAGATGGTAGTGGTGTAGTGGGTTAGGTTTAGTGGAGTAGGTGAGATGGTAGTGGTGTAGTGGGTTAGGTTTAGTGGAGTAGGTGAGATGGTAGTGGTGTAGTGGGTTAGGTTTAGTGGAGTAGGTGAGATGGTAGTGGTGTAGTGGGTTAGGTTTAGTGGAGTAGGTGAGATGGTAGTGGTGTAGTGGGTTAGGTTTAGTGGAGTAGGTGAGATGGTAGTGGTGTAGTGGGTTAGGTTTAGTGGAGTAGGTGAGATGGTAGTGGTGTAGTGGGTTAGGTTTAGTGGAGTAGGTGAGATGGTAGTGGTGTAGTGGGTTAGGTTTAGTGGAGTAGGTGAGATGGTAGTGGTGTAGTGGGTTAGGTTTAGTGGAGTAGGTGAGATGGTAGTGGTGTAGTGGGTTAGGTTTAGTGGAGTAGGTGAGATGGTAGTGGTGTAGTGGGTTAGGTTTAGTGGAGTAGGTGAGATGGTAGTGGTGTAGTGGGTTAGGTTTAGTGGAGTAGGTGAGATGGTAGTGGTGTAGTGGGTTAGGTTTAGTGGAGTAGGTGAGATGGTAGTGGTGTAGTGGGTTAGGTTTAGTGGAGTAGGTGAGATGGTAGTGGTGTAGTGGGTTAGGTTTAGTGGAGTAGGTGAGATGGTAGTGGTGTAGTGGGTTAGGTTTAGTGGAGTAGGTGAGATGGTAGTGGTGTAGTGGGTTAGGTTTAGTGGAGTAGGTGAGATGGTAGTGGTGTAGTGGGTTAGGTTTAGTGGAGTAGGTGAGATGGTAGTGGTGTAGTGGGTTAGGTTTAGTGGAGTAGGTGAGATGGTAGTGGTGTAGTGGGTTAGGTTTAGTGGAGTAGGTGAGATGGTAGTGGTGTAGTGGGTTAGGTTTAGTGGAGTAGGTGAGATGGTAGTGGTGTAGTGGGTTAGGTTTAGTGGAGTAGGTGAGATGGTAGTGGTGTAGTGGGTTAGGTTTAGTGGAGTAGGTGAGATGGTAGTGGTGTAGTGGGTTAGGTTTAGTGGAGTAGGTGAGATGGTAGTGGTGTAGTGGGTTAGGTTTAGTGGAGTAGGTGAGATGGTAGTGGTGTAGTGGGTTAGGTTTAGTGGAGTAGGTGAGATGGTAGTGGTGTAGTGGGTTAGGTTTAGTGGAGTAGGTGAGATGGTAGTGGTGTAGTGGGTTAGGTTTAGTGGAGTAGGTGAGATGGTAGTGGTGTAGTGGGTTAGGTTTAGTGGAGTAGGTGAGATGGTAGTGGTGTAGTGGGTTAGGTTTAGTGGAGTAGGTGAGATGGTAGTGGTGTAGTGGGTTAGGTTTAGTGGAGTAGGTGAGATGGTAGTGGTGTAGTGGGTTAGGTTTAGTGGAGTAGGTGAGATGGTAGTGGTGTAGTGGGTTAGGTTTAGTGGAGTAGGTGAGATGGTAGTGGTGTAGTGGGTTAGGTTTAGTGGAGTAGGTGAGATGGTAGTGGTGTAGTGGGTTAGGTTTAGTGGAGTAGGTGAGATGGTAGTGGTGTAGTGGGTTAGGTTTAGTGGAGTAGGTGAGATGGTAGTGGTGTAGTGGGTTAGGTTTAGTGGAGTAGGTGAGATGGTAGTGGTGTAGTGGGTTAGGTTTAGTGGAGTAGGTGAGATGGTAGTGGTGTAGTGGGTTAGGTTTAGTGGAGTAGGTGAGATGGTAGTGGTGTAGTGGGTTAGGTTTAGTGGAGTAGGTGAGATGGTAGTGGTGTAGTGGGTTAGGTTTAGTGGAGTAGGTGAGATGGTAGTGGTGTAGTGGGTTAGGTTTAGTGGAGTAGGTGAGATGGTAGTGGTGTAGTGGGTTAGGTTTAGTGGAGTAGGTGAGATGGTAGTGGTGTAGTGGGTTAGGTTTAGTGGAGTAGGTGAGATGGTAGTGGTGTAGTGGGTTAGGTTTAGTGGAGTAGGTGAGATGGTAGTGGTGTAGTGGGTTAGGTTTAGTGGAGTAGGTGAGATGGTAGTGGTGTAGTGGGTTAGGTTTAGTGGAGTAGGTGAGATGGTAGTGGTGTAGTGGGTTAGGTTTAGTGGAGTAGGTGAGATGGTAGTGGTGTAGTGGGTTAGGTTTAGTGGAGTAGGTGAGATGGTAGTGGTGTAGTGGGTTAGGTTTAGTGGAGTAGGTGAGATGGTAGTGGTGTAGTGGGTTAGGTTTAGTGGAGTAGGTGAGATGGTAGTGGTGTAGTGGGTTAGGTTTAGTGGAGTAGGTGAGATGGTAGTGGTGTAGTGGGTTAGGTTTAGTGGAGTAGGTGAGATGGTAGTGGTGTAGTGGGTTAGGTTTAGTGGAGTAGGTGAGATGGTAGTGGTGTAGTGGGTTAGGTTTAGTGGAGTAGGTGAGATGGTAGTGGTGTAGTGGGTTAGGTTTAGTGGAGTAGGTGAGATGGTAGTGGTGTAGTGGGTTAGGTTTAGTGGAGTAGGTGAGATGGTAGTGGTGTAGTGGGTTAGGTTTAGTGGAGTAGGTGAGATGGTAGTGGTGTAGTGGGTTAGGTTTAGTGGAGTAGGTGAGATGGTAGTGGTGTAGTGGGTTAGGTTTAGTGGAGTAGGTGAGATGGTAGTGGTGTAGTGGGTTAGGTTTAGTGGAGTAGGTGAGATGGTAGTGGTGTAGTGGGTTAGGTTTAGTGGAGTAGGTGAGATGGTAGTGGTGTAGTGGGTTAGGTTTAGTGGAGTAGGTGAGATGGTAGTGGTGTAGTGGGTTAGGTTTAGTGGAGTAGGTGAGATGGTAGTGGTGTAGTGGGTTAGGTTTAGTGGAGTAGGTGAGATGGTAGTGGTGTAGTGGGTTAGGTTTAGTGGAGTAGGTGAGATGGTAGTGGTGTAGTGGGTTAGGTTTAGTGGAGTAGGTGAGATGGTAGTGGTGTAGTGGGTTAGGTTTAGTGGAGTAGGTGAGATGGTAGTGGTGTAGTGGGTTAGGTTTAGTGGAGTAGGTGAGATGGTAGTGGTGTAGTGGGTTAGGTTTAGTGGAGTAGGTGAGATGGTAGTGGTGTAGTGGGTTAGGTTTAGTGGAGTAGGTGAGATGGTAGTGGTGTAGTGGGTTAGGTTTAGTGGAGTAGGTGAGATGGTAGTGGTGTAGTGGGTTAGGTTTAGTGGAGTAGGTGAGATGGTAGTGGTG